TCATGTCTCTAATAATTTCTGTTGATTACAAGCTATGTGGGACATTATTCAAATGTCAAAAAATTTACTATCTTCCAATCAACTCTGTCCTTTTACAAAAAGGAAAACAAGCTGCACATGCTATTACTAGTCTTAAGATTTTTTTTTTCTATTTTATTCTTTTTGGCTATATCAAGATCATTCTCTTGACTTTTTTTTATCTTTGTCATCTTTGCAGCACTTTCTTTAAGGAATTCCACGAAGGCCTTGCTCGAACGATCAGATGCTTGCTAAAAGAAGACGGTCCCTCTGAGGCTATACTTTTTAGCCCCCAAAGAGGGGATTCATTGGAAAAGTTTATGGTGGAAGTTAAGGATAGTGGGCTCCACATCACCATAACCGAGACCTATGATACAGAAGTTTGGGCTCGGCATATAAAATACAGCGATGGTGATCAGTCGTGGCCCAACTACGAGTCGAACCACTGTTACCCTTTATTGATTAGCATTACACGGTAAACATTATACATTATCTTTCACCTTCTTTTTTTTTCATCCTATTTGTCTGTTTATTTGATTTTAGTCTTCACTTGATTCAACATTGACACTATAAGATGTTGTGTTGTGATAGTTTTATTACAAAACTTTGTCAAGTTTGTATATTTAAAAATGTGCTGGTATTTAAAAAATGTACCTGACTGCATTTTTTTGTTGACATGCAAAAAGATTCCCCAATTATCCCTACTTATTTTTGTTGAAAGAGATAATCTTCTCCATGATATTCTATTATGAAATGATAATAAGAAAGATTCTGCTAAGATGATAATGATTCTTTGCTGTCAAAAAGGTCATGGGATTCCCATTGGATGAAATTTATGCTGATCTTCTGTTAATATTTTTTTTTTTAAAAAAAAAAAAAAATTCCCTCTTGTTTTGTTGGAATATTTGTCCCACATTGATATGATAAGATAAATGGGTCTAGTTTATAAGCCTAGTGGACTACTCCCCCCATCACCAATTGATTTTCGGATGGAACCTCACTAAGGTGCAACTAGGATTCCCTCTGTGTGGGACCACACCCTTGACGCCCCGATTATAAAAAAATTGACATGTTTTCATGGTACCCATTGCACTTGTGTCAATTTGTTAGATGTTTGGGCAAGTTCATCTTTGCCTTTGCTGATAGAATTTTTTTTTCTTTATTTATTATTTTTTTTTTCACCAAGAAATTATCTGTTATCACCCACCTTGTCTTGGTTGTAACTTGTAACTCAGTTTTTGACAATTTCAAGAGATCATCAAGGATATTTGTAATCCTTGTATAGTAAAAGATGCTAATTTGTCACTATAACTATAAGGATATTAAAATATCATATCTAAAATACAACAGATAAAAATATGATACCTTAATAGGGATAGTATATACTTTTTTTTTAGAAAAAATATAAATGGATTGATCTTATCTAACTAAAAATAGCACAAATAATTATATGATTTTAATAATATGGAATATATGAATTAATTTATGTGGATATTTTAGTGGTTGTTGATTTGTTGATTTTAAAAGTATGTAATGTCTATGTCTAAAATGATAAAATTATAACACATGATATTATGTTAAAATTCAATTATGAATATAATTAGTTAACCGTCCAACCTATAAACAGAGATATGGAGACACGTATTTGAACACCATTATCCTTAAGTCAAGCCAATAATTATTACATTATAGTGGAAAAATATAAATTATTAGAAAATGACTCACCCTTCCACTATTCACCATCATTATTATCACTCACTTAAAGCAAACCGCCATTAAATTAACTAATGAAAGCTTAGAAAAAAAGACAAAAATACTATTAGAGAAACCAAGTTATTGGCAGACAAACTTCCTATGTTTCTACCAATCATAAGTTGCTTTTAACATAACCACCTTAGATTTACCCATGGTTCCGAAAACTAGACCGGATCAGCCGGTTCAACCGGTTGGACTATGAACCGGCCTTCATTCCCGTCCGGTTTGAGGCATCAAACCGCTAAGTAATAGAACAGGTCAAGAACCGTTCAAACCTGTGAACCGGGACCGGTTCGAATTTTTATTTATTTCCCTAAAAGAACCATTTTAATAAAAAAAAAAAAAGGTAGTTTGTTATTTATTTTATTTGTTCTTTTGATATCAGATAATAATAAATAAATTAAAAATATTCGTATCCATGTGAACACATTTGCTTAGTTAATATAATGCCAAATTACGGCATGAAATAATATTAAAGTATAAATCACGACGTGATGATAACATAATTTATCGATCTAATTTTATCCAAAGATCAATTATTGTACATGAATCTCTTGATAACAAAAAATCCTTGCACTCTTCTCTCTCATCATTTTTCATTTCTTTTAATACTATTGAATAAAGTTGTTTGTGTTATATAAAATTAGAGAGAAAGAATGAGAATATAGAAAGGTAAAACAAAACGAGAAAGTGGCCAAAATGAAATGAAAGGTGAATGCACCAACGTTCCTTATTTTTTGAGTTACACTTTGCTACAAAGCCCTTGGTTCAATTTTACAAATGGGAAGGTACTACTGCTGCAGCTAGATGTACAAGTGCAATTAAACATGTTCTCAATGCTACACTAATGGAGCCCGGCCCGAAAGACCGTGTTCTGGTCGAATCCCCAGTCGCCAAGTCCGCCAACCATGACCCGTCTGCCAACACGGTCCCCTGAACCGGTGTTGAACCGTCCTGCACCGGACTTGACCCACTCGATTCAGTTTGAGATCCAGGTTCAGAGCCTGGCTCGGACACATCCCCTGGCCCTTCTGTGGTCGTTGCATTGTCCGATTTGGACGATCTTTGGCTGTAAAACAGACCAAGTGTTTCGATTAGTTAAAGTTGGTTCAACTCGATAATATTGATATATGACTATTAAAAAATAACCTAAAACGTTAGGTGTTTGACATTTTGAAAACCTAAAACAACTATTGTAAGTTGTAACCATAAAAAATACTGACATTTTGAAATAAAATTGTATAATTACACTTTGACAATAAGAATAAAATCAGCGTGACATAATTATTTGACATCAAGGATGGCCCAAATTAATGTATATGTTTAATAATTAAAAGTATTGTGATGTATAAATATGAGGATAGTGACATACGTTATTATGTCAAATTTTATGTCACTGTCGATGTAATAAGAAATAGTTTGATTATGAGAATAATGAGTTGAAAACTATGAAAAAAAAAAGTGATTTAAAAAAAAAATAGAATGTGTTTCCAAAAGTGTATATTAGCAAATATTTCCCAAAGGGAAATCACCCAAAAATCTTGATTTTCGACCCAAGGGTCGAGTCGAACTCAACTCGTTCAGGTAACAAATAAAACCCATCTAACTCGAACCTCGAAGGCGCAGGGCAAAAGGTGATGACGTAATCTGCGCCCGCGCACGTGAAGGTGCTCGTGGCGTC